GATAAGTCCCATTACAATTCTACCTGTAGAATCTCCGGGAACTGGAACTGCAGAAAAATTTTGCGAACAAAATTAACTACCTTGATTGATTACTCGAATCCGTGAATCTAATTTGCCAAAAGCGTTTCTAATAACCTGTTCTCTACAGTTTGTGATGCTTAGATTTGACAAAAGAGTAGATATATCTATGTGAGGATGAATGCATTGAAGTCATTTGTTTTGGATTCTCAGAAAATTAGGCAATGATGAGACATTTTGACAAGTTTTATAGCGACTGATTGCTTGATTAGGGTTGATATGGTTGTGGATTGATGAATGAAACGATGGACGATCGTAAGGAGATTAGAAGGTAATGATATGATTATGATTCTTTGGTTACAGGAGTTTTCCTAACTGGGATGTGATTCAGTTTCCACCATCGTTGAGGATGTCCACATATTTGGTTGCATTCGCCATCGGAGACTACGAAAACCAGGAAACATATACTGAGGATGGAACCTTGGTAATTCACTGACTTAATCGTGTCGTTGAGATTCGTTAAGTACAAGGAAGTCAAATAGATGGAATTATATTCAAAAGAAAGGAATGGAACAGAAAAAATGTGCATAATCGAAAGTTGAGATGATTTGTTGAAAAAATCCGTTGAAAATGGATTTTTTGTTCGGATATGAGGGAATAGCTCTAGTGAGTGGATCTCAAGGGGTGGATGAAATGATAGCATGATGTATGAAAAGGATGGACTGTTGAATGATTGCACGATCGGAAGTATTGAAATGAGCGTGTATTCATTGTTAAGATTCGCATTTGGGGATGGCGAGGGCAAAAAAAATACCTCGAATGGGCAAAGACAATTACGCCGAAATGTTTATATCAACTCGGACAATACACTAACTTCAAATATCCAGGAGATAAGTCAGGTGAACTCGTTTTGCATCGATCCTTTAATTTATTACTTCAGCTCTCGAAATTGCTAACAACCATTATCTAGGCATAGTTTGAGGTTAATTCTTCAATCGTACTGGATGATTCAGCAATATATTTTCCCATCAAATACTTATCCGTAATTCAGTGGCCCCTCACCTCTCCCCCCTTAAGAGAAATAATATCTTTTTGGGAATTTTTCTCCT